CGAAACGGAAGGAGGACGGGGAAGATGACTCCGAGGAGGACGAACCAGTGGAAATTCAGTTGTCAGATGTCACGATGCATCCGAAGGGGACCCCAGCGCCGGCATCATCCGTAGAGGCACGAGTGTTCGAAGAGAGAGTGGACCTGAGCAACAACATGACCTGCAGGCAAATGATCGGAGTGGGAGTCAGAAATGTGGTCCTTGCGCGAGGGGAGCTCGATAGACTCGAGGGGCCAGGATATGCAGCAAGGAGGGCGGAGCTGCGCCGAAAGGCGAAAGAAGCCGAGAGAACAAGGGAACGGCAGGCGGCGGCGGCGCAGGACGAGGCAGAAGAGAATGACGCGACAGAGGAGGAAGTGACAAGGGAGAGAACGACGAGAGTGGGACGGCCGCGAGGTGGCATGAAGGTTGCAGCGAGAATCGGCGAGAGACTGCGAAAAGAGATAGGAAGAGGCAGACTCCCTAGGGTGGGCGACGGCTAGCGCATCACACTCCTCTCCTTAAAATCCCTGTGTGGTGGCGGCGTGCCGTCCTCCCATCCCTCCCTTGGGTTGTCTGTTTTCTTTCTTTCTTTTCTGGGCACGGGACTGGCGCGCACTGGCACTAACACAGGTACACCACGGGAGCCGCCTAAGCGACGGAAAAGAATATTTACCCCAGCTCTCTCGCACGCAGGTAAGGGACTGGCACTACAAAGGACACAGCAGACGGCCCCCTCAGGGGCCATCGTCATCGAACAAGTCGATCTCTGCACGATTTAGCCCTCCCGAGCCGTAATCCTCCCCAAAGGGAGCGAGCTCCGCGCGCTCCTCGCGCTCCTCCTTGGCGCGCCCCTTCGCCGCCCGCCGGCGGCGGTTGTTGCCAACAGTCACTTACCTCCGCTCACCGCGGTCGCACGTGCTGTCGCAGTTTTTGCAGTGCAGCCACGAGGCGCGCAGGAACACGGCCGGGCACTTTGTGGAGGGCAGGCCGTTCCCCGAGCAATCGCCCGAGATTATGGACAACTTCGATAGCTGGCTCGGCGCGTTCGATCCGTCGAGGTACGGGTATGGAGCGGCGGCGGATTGGAACTGCTACAACCCGACCAACATGATGACGCGCTACCTGGCTTGCGGACCGCGCGCGACGACGCCACACCACGCCGACGGCATCGGCCCACCGTCACTCGCGCTTGCGCTCAACCGCCTCAGCAACTTCACCCTCGTCAGCCTCCCTAGATGCTGGACACACGTCAATACAATCCCTCTCACCGCACGAAGGCACAACAGCGTCGAGGTCACCCGGTGGCCGCTCACCTGCTGTGGGCCTTTCGTCTGCACCACGCAGGTCGGCCTCACGGAGTATTATGCAGAGTCGCTCTGCCTGGTCGAGTATGTGGTGCGCCGTCCTCCAGCCAGCCCGTCAGTCTAATCGCCTTGGATATACGGCGACACATTTCACCAGCGACGTTGCGCTTGTGGGGCTGCCAGGTGCGTCGGAAGCTACCGGGATGGTGCTCGTGCGCCGAGCTGTCGGACCGACAGATGGCGCACGAGACGCATGGCGTGCCCGCCCACGACGCGAGCCTGATGTCCAGCTGGACGGCGCGCAAGGTCGACTCGCTCACGGAGCTCGACCGTCACCTCTATCGTGCCGGCGCAGGCCGCTTCCTGCGCGAAGTCACGCGGATGGAGAGGGACACGGGGCGAGAGGTGCTGTGCAAAAAGAGAAGGGAGGAGCTGGTCGGACTGCTGTGACCCCACACTCCGTGTGGCTAAGCG